AGGCAATCGTTCGATGGGCTGAATTGCACAAAACGCATGATCACACCGGCTAGTCTGGTGCGCGTTTCTATTTATTGTTCTCGTGACTACCGCGAACTGGCATGTGGTTGCAGTGGTTGTTGATGGAACAAGTAACATGCCCTGTTTATCGGATTTATTTTCTCGTCTTATCGTATTAATATCTTTCATGCCACTCATCTGATGTCATGGAGAGATACACCACGCATCCTTTGTTCTCAGGATTTGGCGTAGTTGCGCCCAGCGCATGATAGCACCAGCATGAAGTCCTATATCGATTACCTGGGTGCGCTTGGTATTCTTAAGGAATGAAAATTCAGCATGTTTATTCGTTAAAATGCGTATAAGATGGTTCCACTGAATTTATCTGCTGTTGACATTTGGTTTACAGAGCGGCGGCCGGCTGGATGTGGAGGAAGAGGAGCAGAATGCAACAAACATCGAGCAGGAGATAAGGCACAGGCATGTTCAGGCAAATGGACCGTCAACATCCGAGTAATTTTTCGCTTCATTCCTCCACTTATGCAGTATTCTACGAACTGAGTTTTCTTGATTATTATGGTGTTATTTTTGCTGTAGTTCTGGGAATCATGAGGGAGCTTGTTTAGCCAAAAATTTAGCTAATTTGAACTGTTTTTTGAAACCCAGTTCAAGAATTAGCACTAGAAACTGTTTTTGCCAAAGTATTTTAATTTTAGTTGAAATATGTTTGTGAATGATGTAAGGAAATAAAAAAGGAAAATGTGAATAAAATAAGATTAAAATCTGGATAGGAATGTTTCGGTCCATAATGCCGCGTACATTCCTGTTCAGTGCTGCAGCTGTACCTCGTTAGTGTGACGGTTGCAGCGAAAGTAGCATGCAATGTGCTAAAAAATGGAAAAGGAAAGTTAAAAAAGGTTAAAATAAAAGTTGAAAATGCATTTTATAAGACGTTACCTCCATCATTATGTATGTTAAACTAACAGATGTACCTGTAAGGTAAATAAACTAAAAATGGAAATAATAAATCTAAGGTAGAAACAAACGAACGCGAAAAATCTTAATGAAAGCAAAGCAAAGCTACGCATTAGCTTATGTTCAAAAAACAAAACCCATTAAAAGACGAGCGGCATATAATAAGTATCAGCAGGTTGTGTAATAGTTCCAGTCGGTCTCGATGTGAAAAAGAGATGCCCTCCTAAAGCAATGCATGCTAGAAAGAAGAGCTGAGACGCTTATGCAGCGAATGTAAAAAATTACGGAGGGACAGAGTGTACTGTTATGTGCTACCTAGCATGTACAGTTTGAACCTTGAAAAGATGGCCTTGCAAGTAGAAGAACCCGTATCAGTATTTATAGGGGTTTTATTTATAGGAAACTTTCAGAATCGAGAAAAATTAGAAATTTAGAAGCTTTAATTGATGATATGGAGCACAGCGTGAAATGCAGAATCAGTTCCTCCCCTTTGCCTCATCATTCATCTCTGCGGAAGGTGGAAACACTCTGAAGTAGTGCAGATGATAGCGACCACTCGTAAATCAACAGCGACCACTCGTTGGTAAAACTGCCAATGGCTTCTCTTTTCATGATTTGCTTGAAAATAAACTGGTGGTGGTTCCCTAGATGTGCCAGTACTAGTCTACTGAAATGTAATAACGAATCGCCCAGTCATCTGATTGTTCCCAGTTGATATCGGGCCCTGTACCTTCAGAACGAGATCAACGCTATTTG